TTAAGAGACATATTAACTAAATTGTTGATAAATTTTTATATTAGTTCATTGTGCTTTTTATTTTTGGGTAAAGAGTTTATTGCTTAGTTTTTAAATTAATATCGTTGCACTGATTTTGCTGTCCATGAACCTTGAGAAACTCTTGGTTATTAGATTCATTATCATCTTATACAACATGGATAATCCCGTTTCTATTCAATTTGTGTGCCGTAAGTTAAGAAACAAAATACTTACACATTTTGATGGCCAAAATACAAATCATACATATGGACGTGTATACACCATTTGTTTTACTTTTTTAATTAAATTTGCTCTTGCAAACCAAAATTTAATTTTAATTATAGTTTCATAGTGTTGGGATATAAACAAGTCTCACATTGATAAAATAAGAGAAAAAATAACAATTTATAAAATACACATATACTCCAATGTTAGAGAGACACTTTGGGTGATGACTAAAAACAAAATTGTGAAAACTTAGGCCCAAAACGAACAATATCTCATTATTATAAAATTATGTGTGCCTTATAAAAATAACACTCATAAAATATCTGTTAAACAAATATTATAAAATACCCCATTACATAATCAATGCAATATACCAAACACAACTCAAAAGCTATATACAATGAATACTAATTTACATTATCAGCAAAGATTAAATGTTGTCATCTCCACAAAGGAAAAGGAAGTAAAAAACAAAATAGAAGAAAAGAATGACGACCCATATTTTGGCAGCTAATCATCATGTCGTATGTTGATATTCAATAATTAATAGGTGTTTTACCGATGATTATGATAGGATCAGGATGACATTTACTTAAAAAAGTTGATAGACGTGTAATAATATTTTAAACTTCTTTTTAGAAGGTGATTGTCCTTTTCATTTACATATCATACCATGTTGGTTTCTTTACAAATACATTTAATGACAGACAACTACAACTTATGTTCCATTATAAAGATAACTTAAATGGATATTTTCTACACGCATTATATTATTATAATATAGTATACTATATTATATTATATAGGCTAGATATAATCTAAGTGTGACCAATAAAATAGGTTAATCATACAATCGAAGTTACAATTATTTTACTTAAATACGTACGGCTTGAGTCATGACAATCAATTTCAATGATATATTTTATAACATGATTTTTGTAACACTATATTGTGAATTGTTGTATATTTTAAATTTTAATATTTAATTTATTTATGAATATGTATTATTTTGATATTTTAAAATTCTAAGAATTAATAAATCTTTATGAGTTTAGTTGTTTGAAGTTGCTTTGTGTAAAGTTAAGGTTGACCAAGTTTGGAGAAAGTAAATAAGGTTCTCAAAAAACTTAAATCTCATAATTCATTTCTTAAAGTTTTAGAGAGATAGACTTTGGAGTCGAAATAAATCTTTCTTTCTTCTAACCTCATAGGGTCATGATCCTTTCATGGAGTAGAGATTTTTGTAGTTGAAGAGAGATTCAAAGTTGATGAGTTAAGAATCAAAGAGAGAATTGTTTCTGGAGGATTCAAGGTAAGGAAGGAAGTTTGTAGTTTAATCTTCTTATGTTAAATATGTTGATTTGTTGAGTTAATCATGTCTAGAATGACATTTGTATTGAATTTGAAAGATTGAAATCTTTGTATTCTATGTAGTTGGGTTTTTCTTGGTGTTGGAAGAGAAATTGATTATCTTAGATCGTGTTGTTGTTACATGTTGTTTATTATGGTGAATCTGAATTGTAGAAGTTGTAAAGATGTTAAATTGATGATTGTGTGTTGAATTGGATAGGTATTTGATGAGTTGAAGAAGAAGAAGGTTTATGTTATTTTTGGGTGAAAACCTTAATTTTTGCTCAATGCAGGTTTTATGATGCCCAATGCTCATCCAAGAATAGATGAACATGTATCTAGAATTGCATTCTTTCTAAGCGGCATAAGCATTGCACAGTAAGAGAATGATTTTGTGGCTAAGATTGCCTAGCGAGACATATTGTGCCTAATGGAAGGACCACAAAGGCTCCTGGTCGCTCAATGTTATATGCTTGTTTTGCGAGAATTTACATAAAGAAATTTGATCACTTAGCAAGCTTTTGACATTTAGCAACAAGCTCCAAGGGATTTTGGCTACATGACGAGCCAAAAGCCCAACTAACAAGGAAAGTGGCAAAGTACTTCCCTCATTGAGTGAAAGTGGTGTCACCTAGCGAGGAGCTCCAAAGAGCTTAGTTTTCCCAACAAGGGTACTCTCGCTCAACAAGATCCCTGTTTTGTGACTTTTTAACTTAGTGTTAATTGTGATATTGTTGAGAAGATAAGATCAAATAATATTGAAATATGTTGTTATGATTAATAAATCATGTTGTAGGAAGTTAAACAGAGATGATTCTAGTGTTGTATAATTAAGTTGTGTTGTTGAGTTGCGTTGTTATCCTATGTTGTTGAGTTGTGTTGTAAACTTTGAAAGATGAGATATCCCATAGTGTGAATATGTATTGTGGTGCTTTGAGAATCTAAATTGTTGAAAAACCTTTCTTGAGTAGTGTTAAGTCAAAAGATGATTTTAGATCCTTCATGATTTATAAGTTTTAATGATAACAAACACTACACCTTTTAATAAGAAAACGCATTGTAAAAGTCATTGTTTTAGACTATATAAGATGTAGTATTTATAAGATGAAGCTAATTAGATGAAACATATAAACTGTTTCTAATGATCATTATTTATTGTGACTGACGAGTTTAAATGTTTAAATGAATGCTTTATACATTAACAAGTCGAAAGTTGTTGCCTTGGAACCCACATTATGTTAAAAATGAATAAAAGCATAAAGAGTAGTAGAACAAAAGACAAAGATCCTAAATTTCACGAAAAAGGCACTGAAAAAGGACTGCATTCTCGTCTGCATGCTAACTTTGCTTCTTATTGTTCCTACTTTGCTACTCTACTCTGATAAGTAGATTGATCTATCAAAGATAAGGACTATGTCTAGGTAAAAGACATTAATTGAAGCATTTAATGCACCAACAAATACTTTCTCTCTCTAAAGATTAGACGAAGGAGTTCTGTGAATCAAACTCAAGAAACTACAACAGTCCACAAGTAGTTTACTCTTGAAGTGGAACCTTGAGTCTTCTCTAGGTCCTTAGTTGATATCATATGACGAATAGGTCAAGTCATACTAATTTAGAAATGAAAAAATCAAGTAGGGATGAAATCGATGGGTAAAATCCTTAATTGATTGCTAAAAATGGACAATATTTGGAGGGTAGTTAGCGGGCTAATTTCATGTAGGCTTAGTTAATGCATATTAATGTCATGGTAGACCCAAACCCAAATTGTTCTACTCCTCATAATGGTATTGGACCTTCCTAGTCTAAGTGGCAACATCCGAGAAATCAGTAAAATTGTTTAATAAGCATTAGTATGCCACGTATTGTGTTGACTTGATATTGGTATGTCAGACATTGTGTTGACTTAATCTCCCTTTTAGAGATTATATAAAGATTTCTTAGTTGACATGTGTGACAACATACAAAGATGTGTTGATAAGTTTTTGTGTAGTTTGTTATGTTAATATATTGATAAGTTGTATAACTGGTTGATGTGCTGTTTAGTAAAAATATTGCTGAAATTTGTGTGACAAAGTTGTTTGGTCATGAATTTGTATATATAGTTAGCTAATTTACTTTTATATTATATGATATTTGTGTACAAGCTTACCCTTATTTTTTTTATGTTATTGGATTGTGATAATCATATTATTATGTGAGTAGGACAAAATTAGGCTAAAGAGCGAGTTGGATATTGTGTCATTCTAGTTATGACGATACTTTGGTGGAGGTTGTTCTAATACAGCTAAGTGTTATTTAACCAACAACTTAGGATGTTATGTTTTGCAATTCTGATAGTGTGTATATTGATTATATTGTAATTTCATAAAGGATTTTTATATTTCAATAGTTAATTCATATACATATATATTATTACATAAATATTTAGGTATTACTTGCATAATAATCCTATATTAGATGACATTTATGTTTTCCGTTGCTTAGTCATTAAGGTGTAGTAAGTGTAGAAATATGTTAAGTCAATATAATTTCATAGGAAAATCTCATTTTCTTTAATTTCATTTAGCATTCTCTTTTTATAATTTTGTATTGTTGAGATTTTGGTCGTTCAGAATTATTAGTTTAAGCTAAATAATAAAGACTATTTTTTTCACAAAAAATAAAGACTATTAATTTTTTGATGCTTAAAAATTATATAGACCAAATCTAAATAAATGAAAATAGAAAGTTGATACTAAATAATGGGAACAAACTAAATGAATAAAAATATAAATATGTTTTTATCCTATAATACATCTTTTTTTTATTTTAGTTCTTGTAATTTTTTTTAGATAGTCCTTGCAAAATCTTTTTTAGTGTGATCCATGGAATTTTGTCTGTCCTAGTAATGTCTTTTTTTAGTCCTTATAATATTTTATTTATTTTAAATTAGTCCCTTAAAAAAATAGTAGTGAGTAAAACATAAGATGAACCTGCTTGAAAACTCTCCTTATCGTACACTATCCTTAAGAAGGAAATCGTGCTGTTTCCTATTCTCTCACATTCTTCTCTATATTTTATTGCATATCAAATGTTGACTTAAAGATATTATCAAGTAATTTTATATGTATCATTATCGATATTCATATTTTAATAAATAAAATGATGTTTAAACAACCGTACTAAATTTACCAAAAGAAAACACTTATACTGTCAACTTAAAGTTTAAAAGTTTACAGCAACATGATGCATATGCTCTTAAGTAGGTAATCAAGGATTCAATTTCTAAACCCATGAATATGAAAAAGCATTTGTTAAAAATAGATATTCGTACCTGAACTGAAGGTCCGTGTGTATAAGAAATTAATTGATTGACGATCATAAAAAGAAGGGGTTAATACCTGTATCTAACAGATAACCTAATGGTTGTAGACACGACTAAAGGTCAAAAGAATGGTAGTAGTTAAACTAGGTAAGACGCAAATTAAAGTAAATGTTGCATAATAATAATAATACTAAATCTGCGTTAAGCTACTATTACATGACCGAAAACTGAGAAATCCCAAAAGATAACGAGTTAATATACGATCAATTAATTTATATCTCATACATAATAAGCCAGCTTGCCTGCAAATCATCGAATTTTTAAATAAATCTTCCCATAAGCTGGCTGCATATATTTTTGTCATTTGAAACTCTTTTAGCTCTCCACTCGATAGTTCATCTTTTCAGGCAAAGAGCCAAGTTGCCATGAAAGCATTCAGCTAAGTGGTCAATAATCCCGTCCCTTATATGGCATCTCCTGTAAAAAAAAAGAAAAAAAAAAAGGAATTGGAAGATTGAGTTCCCAAAATACTGACCGTAAAAGTTATCCAGGAAATATACGATGACATGTAGCTAAGTTTGTTCAAATCCAGATCAAATGGCTAAATGAAGAAAAGTCCGGCAGCTCCATGGCTCTTACAAGGATGTCCAACATCCATGAATCATGATACATCGCAGGTATAAAACTATTGAGATTTGAGATAACTGATTTTATCATGTCTTTATCACAATGCTAAAGACAACAGCACTAGGATACATAAAATTAAAGCAGACATAGGTGAAGTCTTCTAACCTAAGTAATGGAAAATGGAAATTAACTAGAAACAAAACCATCAAAAGGAATAGAAACCAAACATTATGAGCAAGACATGTGAGTCCTTACAGGTAGGTAACTTGGCATGTATAAAACTTGCCTAGGATGACCAAGAAGTTGTCCATACTGCAATAAGATTAATAATATTAAATAACTTTCTAAAGCATCAATATTCGCATAAAAGTCACAAATGAGAGAGAAACTACAAGTGAAATCCCACCTGTGGTCCATTTGGATGAAAATATGGTTGGGATGACATTTGTGCCACCTGTGGATTGTATATGACAGGTTGCTGTGGCCCTGCAAAAGTAGTTCCAACCTGCACAACAACATAACATAATAAAAAAGAAGCAAGTCAGCTGTAACTTGGTACAACTTTTAGACCTTAATAATAATTTTACATATAGTCTCCTATGCAGAGCTAGGCCAATTTGGCACTTAACCATAAAGTTAAATAGTATGGTTTACTTAATTTTTTCTTACCCAGTAGCAAATCTCAAAGCATGGCATACAAATATATGAAACGAACAAGCAAGTAATTACTAATATTCGTCTTTTTTTACATCTCATAACTCATCAGGAAATTCACACATCCCAGGTTAATGTAACATGTGTTGGATGACCAAATCAGAAAATGAGATTGGAGAAATACATTAGAAGCCCCAATCCGTTCGATATCAGTTCACCACAACAGTCATAAATGTTATTATTATAACAATATGACTATTATACAATAATGTCCTTGGAAGAAAACCTCATTGAGTAACGTGGGTGAAAATATTGAAACACTAACTACAATAGAATAAAACATAGTTTCCTCGTTGGAGATTGAGAATATCATTCCATTTAATACTTACTCCAATACCCATGGGCATGGTCGGCACATTTGGTACGGTGGATACAGTAGCTGGGAAATAGAAGGAACCATCAGACACAGGGGAGCGAGGCCTAGCATGTGTTTGAGACGGAACAAAACTCTTTGCATTAGGGTTGAGCTTAAACTCCTGACAACAAAGGGAAAACAAAAAAGGGGGAGCTCTGAAAAATGCCAGTAGCATAAAAAACCAGAATTTATGTGCCTGACTTAAAATAATAGACTAGCATTTGTGGGTGCTATTTTCTATTTTGTAAAGTCAATCTTGTACTTTCACACCTTGGCATTGGGATTCAGAGTCGATTTTTCAGAAGAAAGTGAACCAACTGAAGAACTTGGTGATAGACCACGACCAGAGGATGCTGCCACACAATCAGAACCCGATGTACAACTACCTAGTCTTCCACGTGATATTACAGCCTTTTTTTCCCCAACTGACCCAGTTTCTTCAGGAGTCTTTGACAAAATATGAGTAGAAGGGGCACGGGAAGCCTCATTATGAGCTAACCCACCTTCATCAGAGCCATCTTTCTTCAACTTAAGTGATGACTGTAAATCTACACAAAAAATTCCCTAGATAAGTATAAACTATATTAATAATAAAAGGGATACCACTTTTTGGTGTCCACAATTTATTTTTCAATTTTACCCTTTAGTTAACTACCTTAAAATATATATATATATATATATA